AAGAAAGAAAAATCAACCAAAAAAAATGAGTTTGCGTGTCACCTCTGACACGCGTGTCATAGGTTCGCCATCACTGCACTAGGCTGTGCTCCTTTATGATAAGACAAAAACAAAACAAAACACACACACACAACAAACACACAAAAACCAATAACAGCTAAGAGAGGGGAAATCTCATTTTAATTGTACACAGACTGTGGAGCGCCCCAACATGTTTTCTCAGAAAAGCTACTTTTCTTTCCTAAAAGCCCTATGAGGACCAAGTGGACTCTGAGAGAAGGACTCAGAGAACATGAGCAGTACCAGCCCCCACCCCCCACCCCGGGGACTCCCCCAGCCTCCCCAGCAATGCCACCCAATGAAGAAGCCGAGGCCCAGTGATCACAGCAGCTAGAGGTTTTGCCGTCATAACAAATAGCAGGTAAATCCTTTGGAAAAACAACTACGTAGCCCAGATTCTGTCTTCTCTGCCAACACACAGATTCAGATGGTTAATGTTCCTTAAGGCAGAGGCCCCCTTTCCAGAGGACCACAGTCAAGCAACAACAAACACGGGACCACCTTTCATGATGGATCTTCCAGCATGTTCTGTCCACGGTTTATTCTTGGGAGGAGAATTGGCCGAGTCTCTGCTATAGACCAGGCACTGCAGACATGAGAGTGGAACAGAGAAGCCCCAGCCCTCACAGAGCCGACGGCAGGTAAATCCTCAGACCGAAATAGCGTTCAACTTTCAGTTTAAGGAAGAGAATAGAAAAGATTTATGGAAGGCACAGGTATTCAGAAGTTTATTCCTTTAATGAAACAGTCTTCCTCCCTCACCCATTCCTCTCACTTATAAACACACACGCTATACACCCCAAATACCCAAAGATACACAGACACGTATGCAAACTATAAAACACTACACAAATACACAAACTACACTTGCTAGGAAACCCACGCATGCCTGCATAAAGACAGGCTGACATATTTTCAAGGACCGATCTGCACTCATGAACACACCTGTTTCCATATCTTACCTATAAGAGAATGGCCATGATTATAAGCAAAAATACACATGTTAGAACACTTTCTAAAGTGGGCTGCGATTCTCAGTCCAGCTGCCCCTGTAGTTACTCCCCCCGTCGCTCCCCTAAGGTCCTGGAGATTAAATAGTTGGTAGCCAACTTCATGCATGTGCCTGTAAACAAGAGGGCTCAGCTTTAAATAATTATGTCAGAGAAATGACAACTGTGCTCTTTGCCAGAACAGGGATGAATAATTACAAAGCCAGGACATAATTAAGCAATTCTGACTGTCGGATCCTTGAGCCGTCTCTCTGATGTGCAGGGCTGGAGTGTCCGCCATGCACGCCCTCCTGGACAGGCCCCTTCACCACTTTGATCTGTGTTTCTCGTGTGGCGAGGGGGTCACGGACTGGTCATTACAGAAGCTGCTCTTTGCAGGGCCTCAGCCTTCTGTGTGCCCAGCTTGGTGCTCTCTGCATGGACAATGGCATGATTCAATGGCCAATATTGGACAAAGATACATATTTTTTTTATAATTCTGGGAAATGAACAAAGCCTAGCTGTTGTAAGTCCATTAACTAACAACATACACACACACACACACACACACACACACACACACACACACACACACACAAACACTTGAGGGTCTAGAAGAGCCCATTGTAGCATTAGCTATCACTCCCTAATGAATGATAGCAGCCTTCTATAGAACAATCAGAGCTCAGACAGAAGGTGGCTTTTAAGCAACAAAAGCCAAAGGCAGGGATGAAGAACTGTGTCAGCTGAGAGAGAGCAAGAGAGAGCTCGCACTCAAGTGCCAGGGCCTGCCAGGTACCAAATCAAACCTCCGGGACCTCGGGGCTTATTAGATCCTGGATGAGTCTGCATTTGCATTAGCCAAGAGCCCACGCTGCCTGTTCCCTACCTCCATGGCACGGGCTGTGATTGGAGAGGCATTTTCCATCCTCCCAAATACGTTATGTCAGGAATAAAATGAAAACAGCTCCCCAAATCACGGCCCCCTTGATCATCCATCAGAGCCTCCTGCTGAATAAGCACAACGGGCCGCCGCCTTGGAAAGGACAGGAGCCAACTTGAGAGTCTGACGCTGTTATGAAAAATAGGTCTTCACCCAGTGCGCTCAGCAGAGCGTCGCAATTCACAGGGAGGAAATTGCTCTCCACTTAGGAGCCGAATCCAGGCGTACACATACCTCCCAGAACATACATATGTATATATACACAGAGATGGAAAGCGTATATACACACCTGCATAGGAACAAACACATGTCTGTATATACTGTGAGCAGGCGAGAACCAGCCTTTTTAACATTATTAATTCAGCAAGGAGCTCGTTTGGCCTCTCTCTAGCTGCAAGAAAAGTCCTGGTGAGCATCTCTGAAAACAGACAATAGGGAACTGCCTGCCATCAAGAGAGGCTTACAGTTTGTTATCAGGCCAGGAAGCCAGAGAAATCCTCTGGCGCCCTTGAAGGATCATGGTGTAAATAGAACACTGAAGTGGAAGCCCACATCCCTAGGTTCTGGTCCCCCATCTGGGTTCTGATCCCACATCTGGGTTCTGATCCCACATCTAGGTTCTGGTCCCACATCCCAGAGTTCTAATCCCATATTCCAGGGTTCTGGTCCCACATCCCGGGGTTCTAATCCTAGTCTGCCTCAGCGGGCTCTGGGCGCCTAAGGACACTCCATCTTCTCCCTATTCCTTCACCCAGGAAATGAGATCTCAGACCAGGTGATTACTGAAGTCCAGTCCAGTTTGGAGATCATGTGACCACAAAAAGGTAACCACCGAAGATCCTCACGCTTTCGCAGAGTGCCTCCGCTTCTCCTCAATCCGTGCATACTGTAAAGCTTAATGCCGTTAATAAAGATGTGAGAGTCAATTACAAACATGAGCTAATTCTATAATTGACTAGAAACTAATGTGGGGCTTTGAAGAGCATTTCTGCTTAAGTTGCTAATGACTCAGAGAACCAGCTATTACCGATGTTAAGGAGCCAGTCCCATTTGCTTTCAAAGACTGGGGAGGATGCCAGAGCTCCCCCTCCCCACCAAACCCTGATCCTGCCGCCATCTCTGCTCCAACAGAACAGCCCTGCTTTCTCCCGCTGTCTTCATCTAGGCCTCCAATGAGGTTCTGTTTGAACCCAGAGGTGCATGAAAAACAGTTTAGCTCCCTGCTCCGGGGCAATAAATCAGAGTGGAGAATGTGGGCTCCGTGGTCAAACACACAGGAAAAGCTCCAGCAATTCTTAGCGGGTGACTTGGGCAGCCCGATGAAGGTCTCCAGGCTTGAGTTATGGAACTGCAGAATAAGCCAGCGCTCCCTTCCCTCTGTAGGCAAGGAACCCCAGAACCATGGTGGACACACACAGAGAGCCCCACTCCAATACGGTATCTGGAACCCCTTCAGATTTCCAGTGACAACAGAGCTGCCCATGTCAATGACAATGACAGCGGAAGAAATTCTGACCTAGTTTATAAAGTGCCTGTAAATGTGAAGGTGAGAAATGTAAGAGGGGCAAGAACCCAAGGTATTATAGGCAGCTCATTTGTTGTTCTTTGTTGGTTTTGGGGATGCAGCTGTCTCTGGAATCTTTTAACAAAAACAAAAAACAAAACAAAAAAAAGAGCCAAGAAATAAATTATTTCCTTTGGACCAAAATTACAAGAGCTGAAATATCTGAAGGCAGCCATGAGCAATATGTCAAATATGCCTCGTTAAGGAAAACTGTTAACACTTTAATAACTACAAAACGAATCGCTCAATTAATTTCCCACATGCTGAAACAGGTAACGATACATTTATCTGCCAGGATTACACCCTCCGCGTTGCATCTTTCCACAACTGCCAGCAATCGTATTCAGCACAATGGGAAATAAGTTGCACCTCACGGATTCAGGGCGAAAACGTGGCCTGAGGTCTGCTGCCAGCTGAGCAACTTGACAAAGAGGTTTTGCTCTTTCGGTTTTGGTCCTGTTTGCTTTTTTCTCTTTCCCTCTCAGTCATTCCCAATACTTGGGCAGAGCACTGCAAGTCAGTAAGTGAGGGAAACTGGGCCTCTTGGCTTTCTGGGAGAATGTTTTCAACACGCATGCCAGGATCCCACAGGAAATGACAATGTCACTCCACAGAGCCCCAGGGCAGGGATGGATCTCCATTGGGGTCACCAAGTGTCATCAAATCCATGCCCCAGCCTCAGGCCTCATAGAAGGACCCCAATTCCTCCTAATAAGATAGTTGTCCATGTCCTTAGAAACCTCCTTGGGCCTGAGAGCCAAGCCCCCCCCCCACCCCCTGCCTCATCAATGTTGTCATTAAGATGACCCATGGTGACTTCCACGGCCTCAGGGAAGACTCAGCCTGACAGGTCAGTGAGCATCATTTCCATGAACCCTAGAAAGCTACCTGGAGGGAGCACACACCAGTCCCAGGTCCCATTGTCAGAAAAACGCACTTTCCCTCTACAGGGATCTCTGAGAGCTATTGAGTTCTCAGCTGTGGAACCAAGAAAATCCCTCTCCTGTGTCTCCCCTTTGGTCCCAGGAAAGAAGGGCCCCCTGTGAGGTGCTAGAGGAATCCCAGCCACCTGAGAAAGCGCACATGCTCAGCGCTTTCCCCTTTCCCTTTTCTCAGCTCCAGCCCTGCAGAGGCACCATCTTATAAATGAACCATCTTTAAGAAAGAGGCCTGGAATCCCACCTACTCCTGGGACATCACCATTGGCTGTGCAAGGTGCTGCTTTACCAGTAAACAAGCCATCCAAGTGAAATCACCTTACAAATAAGGTCCTCTTAGACTGGGAAGACCCAGTGTGTACCCAGTCCTACTTCTTGTTTGGCTACCAGTGTACCCATGGACGAGCTCTCAGCACACCCTCCATGCTCCAAGAGTACCTGTGAGGTGAGACACAAATCCCTCGAGACACAGATCCCTCGAGAAGACCATGACCTAGGCAGCTTACCTTGGGCTTCACCACCTTCATGAACGCCCCTCTGACCAAAGCTTACTTTCCTGGCATCCAAGAACTTTAAATTGGGCAGCTTGTGAAGAACAAAGCATCTGGAAGAGAACAGGCAGAGACAGCTCAGGAGGATGGGTGACCACCTCCAAGTTCCATGCAGCATGTCTGGTATTTGGCAATTTAGTTCCGTCGATGTCCTCACCTAAACTATACGCTTCTTGAAGGCAGGAACAAACGTTTTTTGCTCACCCTCAGGCCATCTTACAAAGTAGCGTCAGCATTAAGTCAATAAAATACAAGTTCATTTCTCTTGCACAAATATTTCTTGAGCACCTACTATGTGCCAGGCCCTAGATATGGTCCCTGCATGTAGAGGGGTTTTCAGTGTCATCGGCATGACAGACTCACACAGAGAAATTAGAAACAGCATAGCTAAGTACCAAGATTGAAGTGATGCAGTAGTTTTGGAAGCACAGAGAAAGGGGCCTAATAATTAAAAACTAATAGGTGAAGGAGGATAAGTAGGCTTCAAAGAAACAAACGCTAAAGCAACCCCAAGCATTAGCTTCTCAGTGCAAATGTGACTTGGGGTAAGTAGGGTACCTCCCTTTTCAGGGGAGCCCTGGGTTCCCAGGACAGGCCCCACTCTGACATCACATGTGACCTCCAATGCTTGTCTAGGGGAAACATAGCTGATCACTCAAACACCAGAGACAACGACTTAGAGATCTCTAGCGATAACCTCCATGTTAGTCATTTAAAGTCAAAATGCTCTAAAATTCTTTGGAGGTATACTTTTCATCCCCAGAACTCTATACCCCAACATCTGAGGTCCTGGAAATTTGACTATCTACTTCCTGCTTCCTCTCTGGCCTCAATCTATTACCTTTTTTTCTACTTCTCCCCGAGCCTCTCCCTCCCCTCTCCAAATGTCCTTAACCTTATCCCAAACCAGAAATTTCCACAAGGAGCCCAGGTGACCTTTCTCTACTCCAGCAGAATTCCCGCTGGCCTCAGTCAATGTCAGAGAGAATTCCGTCTTCTGCTGGTACGGCAAAGTCTGGATGACAACAGATTTTTTCAAGTAAAGACACGTACAGATGGAAACAATATGTCAGGCGTGACGCTCGAAGGAGGAAAGACACCCACTAAGTGTAGGGTGGGAAAAGATGAATATTCAGGTGAAGAAAACATCAGCATTACAAACCCAGCCAGTGTTTAATGATGGAGTGAAAGATGTCTTCACAGGGCTGCCAGGAACCACGGTGACAACAGACAGCACGTTGTCATTTCACCCCACTTTGGATCCCAGCCCTCAAATCAGAGGAGAGAGAGAGAGAGAGAGAGAGAGAGAGAGAGAGAGAGAGAGATGGCTTTTAAGCTAGTTAAAATGGTAGATGACAAAGAGCTGCTGTTTTCAGAGCACTCTTCTGATACAATCAAAGAAACAGCCATGAAACAGGCTTCCTGTCACCCTGATATAGGGCTGACTTGACTCCCACCTGACAGCCGGCCTGGGGTGTCCAGGTGGTTCCTGCTTAGAAAGATTTGAGGAACACTAGGAAAGCCTGCCCAAATACTGGGTCTGAGACTCAGCCCAGGGTCCAAACTTTCTCCCTTAGAGATGTCATCTTTTACTTACTTACTCATACATTGATTCACCCAACAAATAATTAGTAGGCAGCTACCACCTGTACTAGGTGCTGAGCCTAGGTGATGTACAAATGAGACAAGGTCCCTGCTCTCAAGGGGCTTCTATCCTAATACAGTGATTCACAAGCTTGTTGAAGGACAGACCGGAGCCCCACCCCTAGAGTTTCTGATTCACTACGTCTGGAGAGGGGCCTGGAATTTACATTTCTCATAAATTCCCAGGTGAGGCTGAGGCTGCTGGTCCTGAGGAGAACCACCGTCCAAGTGACAAATCACAGCATGAAAAATAACAGTTCTGGGATGATGAGGTTGGTAAGGTAGCAAAGAGTCTCCTTCCCAATTCTGCGAGGGGTCTGCCCTGCCCCGTACCTGCGGCAGACAGAACGCGGACAGTGGCCACATCCACCAGAAATCCCTGCCCGTTGGTGGCTTGGCCCAGGTTCCAAACATTACTGCCAAGTGATAAGTCAGTGGGCTTTCTGCCTGCCTGTCCCATCCCAGTCTCAGGAGATCTATTTCCCTTTGTTCTAGGTCATGTCAGGATGTCAAAAGCTGCAGCTTCAATCCTGAGTATTATACAAGCTTGCCATAAAAATACAAGAGAGGCCTCCCGAAGCCACGGAATGAAGGCTTTTACAATATCAATTCCACCCTTGTAAATTTAATCCTGGGTTATTTGTTGCACCAAAATCTCTTTATCGTGATGTATGACTTAGTTACTGAGGTTATCACAGCCGTATCCTAAAGTTGCATAGTACATAAAACATTTCAGTTAACAATGCGGGAAGGTTAACTCCCCGATAACCTGCAATCACAAGGGCCAGTCCACATGACGTGGCTCTGTCAGCTTCCGCGAGCTATTGATGCTTCAATCAGTTTGTTTTGAAGGTAAAGTACAACAAAAGGGCAGTAAACTTATTCGGACTGTCAACAGGGGCTATTGGGAACGGGGCTTGCAGGTAAGTAATTCTGGGTGTTTTAAGGCTATTATCAAACAGCAATGCTTGAAGGAAGAGACAGCTACTAATAACACAGAAGGCAGCCATCATAAACCACTTTATGGCAGAAACCCCCGTCTATAAATCCCGCGACACCCGGAGACAGCTCCAGATTTATAAAACTGCTTGTTAAGCCAGGACACTGCTTAATGAAAAGAGATCCATCTAAGTTCTGAGTCTCCCATCCCGAGCTCCAGAGGGCAACTCCAATTTCCCTGACCTTTCCAAGGTGGCTGGGCGACATCCCAGGGCCAGGGGAAGGGAGTCAGGCACACTTGGCTGTGACATGGAAGGTGAGGTCACGGGGAGCAGATCAGGGATCCTGGGAAGGATGGTATTTAAAGACCCATGTGTTTCTGTCTGCAGACAGACTGTCTAAATGTGAGACCAACAGAGTTCTCAGGTTCTCTCTCTTTCCATACAGAATACCCCATTTTCTTAAAGGACTCCTCTAAGGAGACTCCCCAAACTGGGAGGGGGGCAAAAGGAACAGCAGAAAGGCTTCTTTGCTTGTTTTTCTCTGTCCAAATGCCAAAGTTTTGGCACTTTCCATATAGACTTCAAGCAAGAGGAGGATGCTCTTCCCTCCTGCTCAGAACTGCTACCCACAACACCACGCAACCACAGATCTGCACGGCCTGCTCCTGGGCTGGCTGCGTGTTCCTTTCTCTGAGGAGTCTCTACTCAAGACACATCAAGTTTCTAGATTCTGAGGGACCCGGGTGGGGGAATCACTCGAGTTTTTTCCTACTTCCTTCCATTTATGGCATTCTATGCTTCTTCCCACTAGTTCTTGCTGCCTACTTGCTCCCGTGTATAGGTGGGGGAGAGATGGTGCAACCTACTGATGCCCTCCTGGGGCCCCTGAAGACAGTAATGGGTGACCCATGTACTGTTTTCAACCTTTCACAAGCTTAAAAGAATAGAGTGAACATGCCAACAAAATATCAAGCGTCTTTGCTCTTGACTGGATTGCATCAACCCTGTTTGATAATCCTGGTTACCTGATGCTGATTCAAAGCACGGATCAACTGCTAAATGTGTCTGACTAATTTTTAAATGTTAGTGATGGCTTAATTGCAGTTTATTTAAGAGCCAAAGCTTTTTATTTATTTTTTTTAGGAGGCGAAGCTTTAAAGTACAGGGAAGAAAATTTTTAAAAAGAGGGGAGATCTTCGTAACAAAAAGCTTGGGGACAACAGGCCAAAGGAAAAGGCCAGACTCTGGGATTATCTTGCTGAGCAATCTTGGCTCAGTCTCTACCCCCTTCCCGAGCCTCAGTTTCCCCGTCTGTGCAATGAAGGGAATGGGCTAAATGATGCCTAAGCCTCTTTTAACCTTTATTTTGCTTGACTTCTATAAGCCTCAAAGTTAATTTACAATAAATACATCCATATTCTCCATTCTTATTACTCCAATTTCCTTATGTAACTGCCTCCTCACACCTCCAGGTAAAAGAGAACGGTAAGAAAAAGTCAATAAAGAACAAAGCGTAATGAACAAACACTATGTGGAATCACTCCAGATGCTCAGAGAGATGACAATGATCTCACTCTAATGAGCCGAGGTGAGCTCACCTACAGCATTAATGAATGCCTGACAACTGGCAAAGGCCAGCTGATGTGGGCAGTATGTTTGAAGTCGCCGGGCAAACAATACACCCACAGGACACACCACGGCCCTCTACAGAGGGTAACCAGCAATTATTCTGTGGGCTTCTGTCACTTTGATCTCTGGGTCGTGACCTCTGCTTTCTTGTGATCTTCAAAGCCCAGACTGTAGATTAGCTGGAGCATGCTAGCTGGGCTATGTAAGCCACAAGTTTTACAGCTCCTACTCAGCGGGGAAATGGTGGTAGCCCAGGATGGCCCACAGACTGCAAAGGGTCCCTCCCTCCTGCCCTTTGGCGGAGTGCTGAAGACACTGGGCAGGCCCCTGGGCTGCTCCCTTGGAGAGAACAAAGAAAGGGTGTCACGTTTAAAATAATTTAATGTTGTAAGGAACACAGAGGGACCTACTGGGGAGGAACAAGGAAGGAGAGGCTGACCAAAGATTGCAGTGACAGAAAAGAATGAATGACAAAGGCTTTAAATGACAGAAGTAGAGCTGAGACCACGAGCCCACCTCCCTTATTTGACATCTGAAGTTAGCGCTTGTGTACTGTTGACTTCCAGGCTACTTTCTTTCCTGCAGTAAGAAGAAAGAAAGGAATTATAAAGGAAGACAAGAAGTAGAACACGCTGGGCACCCAGGTTTCCATCCTGGATCCATTTTTGGGCCAGTGTTGAAGTCCACAGGAGGCCCTAAGTGGTTTCTTAGTATGATGGTGGTCTCCCAAGCCAAGCTCTGCCTCACCCACCCTCTTCCTGCTCACACCCCAAAGGCTGCTGGTTATCACATTCACCTCCATTCAACATTCATCCCAAAATAGCACAGTGTGTACACAGCAAAGCATGGGCAGGTTTAGGCTCCTATAATAACATGGCCATGGACAGTTCTCAGCCATGATCTATGATGAATGGCAAAGAGAAACCCCAGGCATGGTTTTGCTCCTGCCCCAGCAGGACCAGGGCACTGATCAACAACTTGGTAATATGTTCATGCTCACATTCAGAGTTAATGAGCCCATTTTACTGTGGGGATGTGTGCCAAGAAAATCTAACCCGGTGCACAGGGGGTGAATGAGGAAGGAAAGGGGGTGGAGAGGGAGAGGGGAGAAAAGAATCTGCAGACACCAAAGCATCTATGAAGCCATTTCCAACAACTCTGTGACTCTAGTCGCTTCCCATTTCTGGTCCAGTGGTTGGCCACAACGTGACCTACAACCCAGCAGACCTCTCAGAAATCAACGTCTCCCATGGAAATGAAACAACGGACATACCTGTTTTGATGTATGGCGGGGTGACATATTATAAATATTACATCACATACCCACAGAGGATGCCAATCAATAAGACATTCTTTTAGACAGCACTAAATGAGCCATGGGTTCTTGCTTCTGAATACACTCCTTTAAGGCTCCTACTATTGCTTAAATGATTAATAGAAGACATATTGTCAGAAAACGTACTTAAAGTGAAAAACAGTAAACCGTAGAAATATCATTCATTTTTAAGCAATTTTCTAGTGAAAATGTCACATAAATTTACATAGAGGCCCTAGGATTAGGCTCCAGTAAGAGCTAGAAGGCAGGCAGACATCATGCTTTGTGAATGAAGGGCCAGGAAGAGTGTTTACCAAGAGAATATAAAAAAGGTGGCTACCTTGCTTGGTAGAAACCCAAATGCCACAGGAACTCTGGGTTCAAAAGACTTATTGTGAAGCCCTAAAACTTCTCAGGGTTAACTGAAGCACAGATTCCAGGGTGAACAAAGTGGGGCTGTTATGGACCACAGAGCAGAACTGGGTCATATACACATTCATCTCATCCAAATGCAAGTGTGAGAATGCTTGTCAAATGAGAGATAAAAAACAACAACAACAACAACAACAACAACAACAAAAACACAGAGGAATGACAAATTTGGGCCTACTCTTCCATGCAACAGTCAGAGGCCATGCAGTTCATGTGGACCTGGATGGGCACACGTGTTCCCACCACTGCTCCTGATTTCTGTTTCTCTCAGAGTATGAGCACCTTGCCATCCTTGTAGGTGACTTCTGAATTTTCTCAGATAAATTTGACTGGATGTGATTTCCACTGTGTGCGGCCTCTAAAACCCGGCTCCCCTTGGCAACTTTGCCATATGTGCAACTAACAAACAGCCTTCCCAGCCCCACCCTTCCACACCCTCCAGGGACCAGACATGGAGTGGGGAAGACAGGTTTGAAGGGTGCTCATCCTAGCCCAGGACATGGATCACGCCTCTAGAATCAAGCCCACCCTAAGAAATCAGGCCCCGACAACCACCACTTGGACTGAGTCTGAAGGATAATCTCTTGCTTATTAACTGCATTTGTCGAGATCCAAATGGAACTTTTTCCAAATATGCAGTGGGCCATCTGAGGAGCCAAAGGGCCCTGCATCTGTTAATTGATGCTCAGCTTATGAGAGGAAGAGTAATTTCCAGCTAGCTCCAGAAAAATTACCAAGCCCCTATTCCATGGTCTGCTTTAGGTATTAATGTCTACTTTAGGTATTACTGAGGCTTCAAGAGTCAAGAAGATGCAGTCTTTACCTACTGGAACCATTCTCTGAATGGTGAAATATATGAGGTAGTGAGAGAAATACAGAAGATAAAATGCATAATGAAACATGAGATAGGAAAGGAAGAACTGTAACTGCTTGGGAGCAGAGTATCTCAGAATGCTAGAGCCCACAGGAATTTTAAATACCACTTAGTTCAACAGTTCTTCACGGAGCATCAGAATCACCTAGTGACTATTTTGTTGCATTTGCCACTAAATTAATCAAAATGCCTTGGACGATTCAGAAGAATCACCTTGGTTAAGGGATCCTGATCTAGACTGGCCTCTCCATTTAAAAAGTCCCGCTGGCAAACTGGACTCCATATCAGATCATCTTATTTGACCCCTTACACCTTGGGTCTTAGTATTTTTGCCAATGTGACCAGTCACAATGACAAAAAAATAGTATTAGCTTTTCTTGTTCTTTTATAACCTCATAAAACCCTCTTTCTATTTGAGACTGAATAAAATAAGGTGGGATTAGAAACTGTTCTCACTCTACTTTTCTCATTCTAGAAAAGAAAAATTACCTAGTTTGAAGCACCTGAATATGAATGAACATTAATAAATGAATGAACGTGTGTGTGTGAATGTGTGTGCACATACACACATGTACATACATACACATATATAAAATTTATTTGGCTATTTTTAAAAAATTAAACACAGAAAGAAAGAAAAAAAAAACAGAAAAACTGAGAATTTCCCAAATAAGGCTTGGTTTACTAAAAATGTTGATTGACAGAACTTTCTTGGACTTGTTCAACCTTTCTAAGACATATACTAGTAAATAAATTGCCGCAAGAAGATAAAATATGTTTTGAGCCACCCTTTCATGCTTGAAATCCGGCTGTTAAATGCTTCAGAGTTGATAAGAGTGTCAAAGAAGCAAATTAAGTTCTAAGCGACTATGCAACTTCAAGGGTTGATTTAGAAATGTGTAACTATTCACCTGCTGGACATTAAACATATTTCTCCTAACAGAACTCACATTCGAATTGACAGTATCATATCTCAAATGAAAATCTTCATGATGGAGAAAGATTTAGTACATTTTTAAAAAGTAGCTTTATTCTAAGATAGTTTAAAAGCAAGCAGCTAAGACTGCTACAAAATTAATCAAGTAAGCTAGAAAATGAAGTAAAAGGTATAAAATTCTTGCCAATGAAGAAATGTAACTAAAATCCTACTGTAGCTTTAGTGTGTGTGTGTGTGTGTGTGTGTGTGTGTGTGTGTGTTTTAAACATATTCCATTCAACAGCCTTCAGTATTTCTTACAGTTTTGCTTATACAATTGAATGCCCCCAGCTATGTTCCTTCATGGATCACCACAGATTTTTATATGAGTCTTAATAGAACAAATTTCTCTCAGATTATTATCCTCTTTCCTCAATTCTTCCACATTTATTTTCCAGTAGCCTTATAGGTTTTGTATTTCCATCCTTCCTCCCTCTTTCCTTCCCACATTGATTCGAGTGGGGTTTTAATGAGAGCATATATCATAATGGAGAGACCTGCAACACATCAGAGATGATCATTAAAAGTATTTACCAAACAATAGTCAAGAATGAGAGCATACAGAATTCAAAATGAAGAAGGAAAACAAAACGAGTTTATGAAATCAGTGCGATGGAGAAGACTCCCTAACACAGATGAGTTTGGATTGGTGTTTCAAAGCAGATGGTTTAGAAGTAGAAACAATAAAGAAAAGCATTTCTACTTGGAACCCATCAAAGCACATGGTCAATGGGCACTTGGGCATAGTTTTATGGAACAAAGTTATGGGCCTTGTGGGACTTCCTCTTGGGATTTTATATAAGCTCCCTAAACTTCAGTGGGAAATGTTTTTTCTCCAAAAAGTGACTCTAAAGCAGACCTCGGGAAGACCTGACAAGACAGAGCATAGGTCAGCAAAATAGAGACAAATCTGGCCTTCTATCTGGTTTTTTTTTTTTAATAAAATTTTGTTAGAACATAGCCATGCCCGCTCATTTACAAATGTCTACTTTGCACTGTAACAGCCAAGTTGAATAGTTGCAACAGATACCATATGACCTTCATCCTTTTACAAAAAAGTTTGCCAACCCCTGACCTAGACCACTCAACAGCATTCCATGCTTCTTGGCTCCTCTGACTTCAACAAAAGGAGACAATGGCTATAAGTTACGCAAAGGTAAAAGTTTAATATTATCACGTGGAATCCACTGATATTTACCAAACATCTGCTACGCACACAATAGTACATTATCCCCCCAAAAGATGCTTTTTCCTTCTTTCACCATGCTCCAACCCCTAGATACTCACCTGTATCTCTTATAGTCTTCTTCGTCCTTTTCCAAGCTGACCAGTTCGTTGGGACACGCCACGTTACCCAGCAGGCTGAGGTATTCCAGAGCTGGTGTCACTTCTGCCAGGTGATCAAGCAGATGCTCCAAGTCAGTGATGTGACAAAGGTTAAGGATCTTGGTCCAGGAAAACAAAAGGTTTAACAAGGAGACTAGACCACTGTGAGTCCAGACTGCTCCCATGATATGGCATGCGTGATCCCATGATATGGCATGCGTGAGGGTTGAAATCAGCTTAGCTGTGGGTATCTGGAACAGTTAGCTTTTCACTCCTACTGTTGGATACATGAACAAGCTTTTCTCTGGACAGGTAAGGCTGAGTTCAGATCACTTGAGAGAAAATTAATGCACTTAATTGTTTTACCACACTTTCCTCTATAGTTCTGTGTTTTGTTTTTAAGTTGAAATGATGAAGGGTATATTCCATGTAGTAAAATATTTTACAATATGCAAATCCATAAAACTTAATTTTTTTCTAGTAGTGAAAGCAAGGCATTATTTTCAAAGACCTCATTAAAAAATATCAATTCTCCTATAATGGGTAATGTATCAATAAAACATACAGGAATGACATAAACACAAACAGGGATTGGCCATCCTATTATGATCTGAGAGTTTGTGGTGGAGCCAATCATTGCTCAGTGGCCTCATTGGTGGGGAAAAAAATCATAGTATTGGGGGGAAAGGAGAACAAAGCTAGGAGGAGAAGACAAGCTGAGAAAAGTAGAACAACTTTAGTCAAGCCAGGCAGGTCAGAATCCATTTCCTGAGACCCTTTGTGAATCTAATGTTCTATGAAGGGGGAAAAAATGGAAGAGAAAAGACCAAGGAGGGTCATGGTGGTAAAATTATTCCATGATCCATCCCCACGGTGGGCTCCACTATCCAGTCAAGTCAAACTCTGAGACACCACAAACCATATAAGAAAAGAGTCACAGATGCAGGATATCACATGGATTGGGAAGGGCTAGTTCACACATCAACTCATCAATTGAGCTGATGAGCTGGGCCCTAAGCAAGATGGTGATTTGACAGGCCAGGATAGAGGCCATGAATACCAAGAGCCCATGGACAAGAGGAATTATCCAATATCAGGAGATAAACTAGGGGAAGCCTTTACTACTATGGACAGAAAAGTCTAACCAAAACCTAGTTCCCTCTTAGGGGCAAACTGAGAGTCTGTGGTAGAGCTGAGCATTGCTCAGTGGCCTCACTGGTGGAGAAAAAAAAATCATGGTATTTGGGGAAAAGGAGAACATTAAATCTTCATCTATTTTTTTATCTACTGTATGAAGGTGGTAATGTGAAGGAATAGAACTCAAAACTGGCAAGATTTTCAAGTTGAGAAAACACTGGGCAACTAAGTTGGATTGAGATCCCAGTTACTTCTCAACATTTAGTGACTACAGATGGGAAACCTCGCAGGCCACCATCCAGGGAGGCCCAGTTTAATCTGAGTAAATCTTCACATGTAAATTTCCCACAGAACTAATAAAGCTTGTATGTGAGGGCTCTTTGCTTGCAGAGGGCTCTGAAACAAGCCCTAGTAATAGTGCCACATGGTCACGTATTTTGTGAAATTCACGATTGGTTAAGATCACTGTTTTTCTTCACTAGGATGTCATCCACTACATGTCACTTCGAGTTGGGTGACATTGGAGTGCCTGCGGAAATTCTGGGAACCTGGCTAAGAGGAACTTGGGAAGAAGTGGCATTTAATTAGGATTCAGTGAGATATATTTGTGTGGTTTGCATCATATCTGTGTCTGGTTATTACAACAGTATCAGTAGGAACAGCTTCCAGTAATATTCATGCTGACACAACATATAGGGACCAACATAAAACTGATGATACAATGATTAACGAATTTATCAGGTCAAAGAACATTTAAGATTAAGTTATTGAGTGTATACACATACACAAATAACTTGAAATGTCCTAAAATATAACAGCTCATATATGAAGAAAATGTATGAGAGTTTTTTCAATATTTAAAAATTCTAAATATTTTGCCAATAATTTAGTGGTGAAATTACCAATAAGGAGTGATGAATCTGAAAGAAACCTCCCTAAATTATTAAAAATGCAACTTAATTTTCAATTAGATGGAATTATCTTTCTATTTTCTCTCTATAAAATATTAGAAAATCATATAACAAAGTTATAAGGGAATTTGCAGGAACAAAGTTTTTAAACAGACATGTGTAGTACAAAAAGATTCACTTTTCTAAATATTTTAGTGTGTGGTATTTTTCAACTTAAATTTTATTTTGTTTTGATATATTTCCTATTCTAAGTAACACTCATCTTCATACCTAATTTTGCATTCACACTTATGTAGTTTTTTCCTTTAAGAGGGCTTCCTCAAATTATGTAAGTTTTACACTCCACAAAATCTGGGTCAGCCAATGAACAGGTGGCTGTGGAGATGTTGAGTCATTCGAATCTGGATCATTTCTTGGGCAAAGCATCTAGAGCAGTGGTTCTCAACCTTCTGGCCCTTTAAATACAGTTCCTCGTGTTGTGGCCCGACCATAAAATTATTTTCGTTGCTACTTCATAACTGTAATGGTGCTACTGCTATGAATCGTAATGTAAATATCTGATATGCAGGATGGTCTTAGGCGACCCCTGTGAAAGGGCTGTTCGACCACCAAAGGGGTCGCGACCCACAGGTTGAGAACCACTGATCTAGAGGCTTCAAGAAGTTTCAGCCATCTTGTGCCCATAAATCTAAGGAATTATGGATTTCCTAAGCCTTTGAGCCTGCTCCATTTAGGATACTGTGTGTGGCAGAAGCTACTCCATCTTACTAAGCCTTTCAACTACCCACTAACTGATCAATTGGGGTTAGCCAGGTGGTCTCCCCCAAATCCACACCAGGCAGGAACCTCCAGCACCTACTTCAGGACTCTGTGGACCAGAACTTCATCATTACACTGAGATCACCACTGGAGGATGAAACAGGAGGAGATTTAATTGGTTCCTTGGTCTCCTGGGCCAGCGAGGACGAGCACAGCCTTGACTTGTCTGATTGCAGGCTCTGAGAGAGAATGTGTCACATTCCTGTTTGTAAAATTGCATAGGAAATTAACCAGAGCCAATGAGAGGAGGGAACTGGGGTCTGGGGCTAATCAAGACCACCGCAGTGGAGACTCTTTCAGCAATTCTCCTAAGGCTTTGGGTTTTTTTGGGTGTTTTTTTCCCCCCATTTTTAAAAATGTGACACTATCTGGCACAGTTTCATTTCTCTCCAGCTGGATTCTTAGCACACACCTGGTTTCCCTCATCGAGCCTTCTCTAGAGTACTTGCTGCTTCGATTTTTTTCAATGTTGTCTACAGAAAGTTGCCACTGCAGAGCCCAGCTGTCGTGGCCGGGCTTGCCAAGGGAGATTTTCTGCTGGGGCCCAAGATCAAAGCAACATCTTGCCTGGAAAGTTTGGAGCATGAGGGAGGAGGGGTGCCTCCAGGGTCAGGGCCAGTTGCAGGTCTGAAGCTGTTTCCCAGGTGAGAGAATGGGGACATACCTTCCCACTGTGCTCGGCTTCAAAGGGCAAAGGGCAGCATCTATAACCACTGGGAGGATTTCAACCAGAGCTCATCCTACTATAGGATTTTTGAGTGCTAACTAAACAGTGTATATGGCATAGTACCTCATTTTGATTTTCACATACATCAGAAATATTATCACATTCACATAACAATGAAGGAAACTGGGGTCAAAGGTCACACTGTCAGTAAATGGCACAGTTTATATTTAAACCTAGAACTGAAGAAATGGCATTTCTAGGGACACGTCATTGTCCCTAGACAATGACTCGTCATTTTCTAACACAAAAGGGAAATTTTAAATACTGAAAAATGAACATTCTTAGTCCTGCTTTCTAATTCAGCACATCCTACTTGTATTACGCATCTTCCTTGGCGTTATAGTTCATGCTGTCTCTCCATACATGTGCTGAAGCACACAGGGAGACAGAAAATGAAGAAATGAACTGTGATTTAAAATGAAGTCACTTATCACCCCTAAAGGAAAAGTGGGTAAAAGGTTAAATATCCATATTTTTCTGACATCTCAGTTGTTCTCTTATTTGGGGCTGAGTATTCAGACATGATATGGCCAACTGCCCATCCCTACAGGGGAACAGCCAGGGACAGTGTGTACATGAGAGAGAGAGAGAGGGAGAGAAAGAGAGAGAGAGAGAGAGAGTCAAGGCCATGGCCAGGCACTATTGGCCAATGCAAATGAACCTAAGGAAGAAGAGTGAGATAAGCTATGAACCAAGAGATGAAGAGGTAACCTGGGAAGACCAGGCTTTAGGGATGCCAGGACAGGGCTCCAAAGCTGACGGCTGAATGGAACCCTCAGGGACAAGGACTAGGAGAACAAACATGTGAGGTCTAGCAGGAGGTACGCAGCCAGGAAGTGGAGCAGTGGTGAACTAGGAAGAAATTTGCCAGATGCTGGGTTTGGGGTCAGGAATTCCTTTCATAAGCTCCCAGTGCAGCTGGGAGCAGGGCCTTGTGGAGCCCGGCACAGGCAGCTGACTCTTCCCGCACCTTAGTTCCTCTTCTGTGCAGTGACTGCCCCTCCACCTTGGGTCTCAGAGTCTGGGCTGAGAATTAACACACCTGTGTTCTAGACTGAGCCCCACCATAGACAATCTATGTGATTTCAGAAAGTTCATACTCTCCCAGTTCTTTCATAAAAATGAGAATTATCCCTAGTGGTACCCGACTCACAGAATGATGTGAGGGCAATATTAAATTATAGTATAGAAGTCAAAAAAGCACTCTAAATCTATACTCTGATGTTGGTTATACTGTGACCCAAAAGACTTTAGATAAGTTCACATAATTCTCTAGGATCATAATAAAAGTTATAATACTAACCCTCACATAGAATTCAATGTGTTACTGTAACTTAGTATTTGTGAGATTCTTCCATAGCCATTACAACAACCTATGGGGTGGGTACTATTATTGTCCCCATCTTAAGCCAAAGCATAGAGATGTTAAGTAACTTGTCCAAGTCATGCAGTAAGTGGTAGACCTGGGTACAAGCCCAGGAAGTCTGGCTTCAGAGCCTGTTGTTCTTAAGTACTATTTGGCAGTGCCACTTGGTAAAAGATAAAAAAAACCCATAACCCAAGTTCCCAGGGTCCAGTAACACACTCATTGTATAAACAGATTTAATTGGGAGTAAAACCCAAATGGAAAACTCTAGACTTACAAAGCAGATAAAATGAGCTGTGGTGGGGGTCAATAACCATTCTATATATGCCAAAAAGCAGAAAATTAAAAATAAAACCAACAGCACAGAAGAACTTGAGGTAGATCCCCATTTGACAGCAAGCTTCCTAATATGTTTTAAATAAGATTCAATTTATAAGAAAGAGTGAATATTCAGAAGGTCAATAGTTCCTTGATTCCAGGTCTCTCTTTATTGGAAATATGAAGTAAAAACTTAAGGAGACAGGATACCAAGGTCTGTGTGTCAGATTAATGAAATGAGCTATGCCTCTGTGTATTTACACCTGGCAGAGTCCCCTCTCACAGTGGTTCTATGTTTGGTATGTGACTTGCTTTGGCCATAGGACAGCAACACCCATGATACGAGCTGGGCTTTAAAAGTGTTTGTACATCGGAACTTTGCTCTTGGAACACCCCTCCGATGTGAAGAGACCTGTGCTAGTTTGTGGGTGACATGTAGTTCAGCCCATTGCCAGCACCAGTTCCAGTTCCAGGCCTTCGAACAAGGCCATCTCAGACCATCCAGCCCCAGCTGAGTTTCCAGATAACTGTGGCTGGCTGCCTGGGTGGCCCAAAGCAAGACTAGCAGAACTGTCATCCAAGCCGTGCCCAAATAGCTGACCCCATAGTCTTGTAAACCAATGTTTGGTTTTTAAAGCGACTCACTGTTGGGGATTATTATGCAGCAAAACTAACTGAGAGAGCCCAAGTCTAAGACATTTCACAGAGTAGGAATAGCAATATGGAATTGTGTAATGGCTGGAGAGCCTGAGGTACTGTTACAAGTAGGTAGGAAAGTCAGTCAGCCAAAAAGGTGGAGTCAAAATTGTTAGGTTAAGAGGATGACATATATCATTACTGGTGCTTTTACCTGCTTTTCATTCTATGAATTTTGGGTCAAGTATAAAGGGAAAGTAAGCCAGTTCTCCTGATCATACTGACAGCCTGGAGGAGAAAGAAGAGCCATGTTGCATCCTGAGAGGGCCAACCATAATCTCTTGTATCTACTGATAACAAAGCACATACAACAACACAGTGACAGGACTGATCAGCTTGGCACCTACACCTTGCCTTCTGCCTCGGTCCCTCCCAGGCCATACCATTACTTCCTGGGCATTATTGCTATAGATTGGAGAAGATGAGGCATGGAGCAGGGAAAGAACTCAACCAGAGACAAAGAAAATCTGAATTATAGAGTCAAGAGGCCCACTAGTCTCTGGTAACTGCAGATCATCTGAGAATAAAACCATGATCTAATTCAACTTATTCCTATAAAAATGATTAACAGAGGCTCTTAGAGGATGACTTGTCCAAGGCCACATAGCTAAGCATGATCAAGCTGACTCATGAACACACGTTCATGAACTCTAATACTCAACAGTGATGCGGGACACAGGATATGAGCACTATGGCTCAAGGAAGGAACCGTATCATCCAATCTAGTCTAATATTCCTTCCATTCTTGATCAATTTGAGAATATTGTCCCACTGATCACCTTACACAGCCAAGGAAGCCTGAAGACACACTGACTATAACACTTTTTCAAACAGTGACTAGGAAACTGAGTTGACTGGAGGATAGGAAATGGAAAAATCCATCAACATTTCATATGAGGAAGACTGATATTTACCTATAGGCAGTCTCCTTCTCCTTCTATTAAAGTGTCAATTAATAATGACCAGAAGCAGTATATTTTACAGAATAAGGAAAATATAAACTTATGACTTGAAGTATAAACAGTGGGTAATAAATGTTGACATATGCATATAGATTAAACTTCACATGCATATCTGGTTTTATATCATACTCTAGGGAAAATGCCCTGATCCCTTTCCTATTTCTAACTTGCTTTTCACCTGCGATCGTGAACTAGTGATTAAACCACTCCAGGTCTTGAATGTGCCATCAATGAAACAAGATGATTGGACTTCAAGTCTGAAGCAATACACTAGAATGGAAAGAGGTCTGGATATAGCCACAGTTGAGATTGAATTTGGGACCTAGCATCTTATTAAAAGTCTGGCTGTGGGTCTATACTTTGCCTCTTTCCCCATCTGGACAAAGGTGTAACTATACCCTACTTACAAGGTTGGATAAGAATGAAAAATACAGTGTGAGGCAAAAGTAGGTGTACAGCTGTTTGAATGGAAAATAATACAATAAACTGTGTTTCACGTACTCACAACTGTAAACCTACGTTTGTCCCACCCTGTAATATATCTAAAGCTACTCGGCACAGAGCCGCCTGATCCACAGGAATGCCCCCTAAAGAACAGCTGATGATGATGATTCATTCACTTATCTAACAAACATTTACTGACCCTCAACTCGGTGCCGGGAGTTATAATAGATGCGCATCCAGGAGTTAACAGCACTGACACCACACTCTGCCTCGCTGGGCTGGCGTCATGATGGCACAGACCCACAATCTAACATTGGAGCCATGTGCCTTCCGCTGCAGAAAGGTTCTGACTCCATTCTCAGCTCACGGTGGACTCCAGAGCCCTCAGTCCCTCTGAGTCTCCTCTGAGGCTGGCTAGGTCCTCGCAGTCTTAAGAAGAGGCCATATACCAGCCTGGCTCTCCCAGGCCTTTCCCATCACCCTACTGAACACCATAAAAGACAGGATAGGCCTGGGCTTCACACTTATCCTCCACCTTGGCCCCTCCCCCTGTTGCCTTCACCACAACTGTTGCCCAAGAGAGCCTTCGGGAATCCTCTGCGAAGGCCAAGTTTGCTCAGCAGCATTACCCTCGACTTCCCACCAGAGGTCGCCCTCCCACACAAGCCCAAGCAAACAGAACTGGGATTCGCCTTCTTGGCAGCAGTGACATTATTTTCTTTCTCTATTTTTATCTATTAAAAAGATTTCTTCACAGCCATAACTTAGATCTCTGCACTAAAATGGAGCAACAGGAAGATATAATGGTGCATTTCATTTATGAATGACCTATAATAAATTACTCTGAAGTGTCCCGAGTGCCAGGAGACAGAACGCTTTGTCTGCCCATGGACTGTATTTCACATGCTTTAATTTAGCTGACACATAAAACTCATTTGACATTTTGCAGGTATTTGTGTGGGGCCGGGGAGGAGAGCTGGCGAGCAGGAGGGGACCACTGCGGGGCAGGGCAGGCAGTGGGGGCAGCGGGCAGAGCCAAGGATATCTGGTTCTTGTTGAGGGTTAAGGTATGGAGCCTGGGTAACCCTGGCAACACGAGGTCGTTCCCCAGCAGATTGTTGTCCAAGACGAGCTCCTCCAGGCTCCCGAAGGCGCTCAGTCCTTCCAGTGACCTGCAATGACAAAGGCAACAGGAAAAATGATCCTGCACTAAATCAGGGAGGCCATTATGAGCCGAAATAAATATTTTAACCTTCCCTTTCAGGACTGGGAATAGTTTGGGCTTGGTGCCTGTCAGCAAAGTGAATGACAAGAATTAGTAGCGGGAGCCGGGCGGGGGCGGCGGGGGAGAAGGGGCCGCTGGCACTTCACCGCATCCTTCACGCGTTGCCAACATGAAGGATGAGGGTCACTTAGTGAGTAGCCAGGATCCAAAACAAAGGGCTTCAGATGCGGCCTGCAGGATAAATTTGTCAATGTCTTGTGCCTGCAGGCACCCAGCCTAGGCTGACCCTCACCTCCATTCCCAAGATAAATAACTCTGTCACAGTTCACCTTCATTCCCTGGACACAAATTTAAGTTGTCATCCATCATTCCTGCCCAGAAATATCAGACCCGCTTACAATAATAAATATAACTTCAAGTATCATTTCTTAGCGGTTCTCCTCGGCACAGTGGTAGGAAACAGCGAGGAAGCCATCCTTTCTCTCCGCTCACCGCCTGTGACTTTTTCCTCCTCTGCTTTTTTTCCTTCACTAATCACTTAATTTGCTTCTGCCCAGTGTCCCTGTGGCTGTCCCAGGGGCAGGGCACCGAAGGAGCAATAATCCCTCCAGTGTGAGGGGCTGCTTCTGTTTCTTTCTTTGATTTCTTTTCCTTTTTCTTTTTTGTTTGGGGAGCAGGAGTAGGGGAGGGGTTGGGAGGATTTCTGTTTCAATGCTCCTGGCTTGAAGTTACCGTTTTAATGTATGGAAAGTGGATTTCTCACTTTATTTCTGAAAGAAGTGTCGAGCCCAGCAATATAGATATCGAGGTGGTACATAAACAGGCATCTGAAAGAATTAAGTACCCAGCTCAGCGGGAAAAAAGTATCCAAAAAGGAAAAACAGCCTTGTTTATACACTTAGCTGAAAGTTTCTCTAGAGGTGGGTTCTAGAGTGTTGGGGGCGGCGGTGGTGAGGGGTTGTTGCCCACCTGTGCGGGCCCTGGCGCTCACAGGCGTTAATTAAAGAAGCCACCGGGCAGGCAAGGGACTTACACAGACACACACACTCCCAGCTCAGTCACCTGCCAGACCCGAGAGCCGAGCTGAGCTTGCATGGCTGACAGCTGAGCTGCAACGTCAACCGGAGGGCGGACGCGCATGGGATCTCCTGGCGATTCTGTAAAATGTGACGAATCAGGGGGATGCTGCCTGCACTGTTTATTCATCTCCTGGTGGCACGCACATTACAGACCCGCCTGCTGGTGTGAGCAACGCCTGTACGTCTGGTGCAGGTGCGAACTTCAGCTCAAGGGCCATCTCCAGCCATCCACATCTCCCCGAGGATTTCTGCCCTAAGGACTCCCGCCCTGAGGACTCCAAAACAGCCAGTGCTTGGGAGGTGTAACATGCATTGCAAAGAGGTAATTAAATCCCCAGAATTCACTGGGCCCAGAGCTCCACCAGCAGATCCCATCTCTGCCTGACCCTCGGGGTGGTCCCACCCAGGACCCAGCACCCAGACCACGTGTCCTCCTGCAGCCAAACGCTACCTGCTCCAAGCAGGAGGGAGGGCAAGACCAAACACATTTTGGGTCAAGGGTCAGTGGGGTTATCCTGCCTCATTTCTTCCTCCTCCTTTCTCATGGACCTCACGTTTCAGGGAGGAAACACGACTTACACGCCTGCAGTCAGGACGGGCTGGAATATTACGCCAACTCCCTATTTCCTCACAGTGTGGGCCTGGGCACGTCAATAACCCACCTGAATGCCTTCTTCTGTGTTGATTCCAGCTCATAGCATCTCATGGACAATAAGTGAAAGAAGATTAACAAGTTACATTTCTTTCTTTTTCTCTTCCTCCTTTCATTCACTGGTTTTTCTGGAAGCCCTGACTTGTGGGGGGAGGCTGTTGAGGATGCAGATGGTGGGCAGACCAACCAATGCACAAAGGCGTGCAGTAGGTCCTGCCTCTGCAGGGGCACTCCACGCTTCCCGAAGTCCCTTGCTCTGTGGGGTTAATGAGTGATGATCCCCAAGAGCTTTTCAGAGCGAGGCTGTTTACCAGGAGGGAAGCTGAGGCCTCCTCCCTCCCTCCTGTGGGGGCGCCTTATGGAGGGCTAATAAGTCCTTTGTGCACAACATCGGTTGGGCTCTGGTCAGAGCATCCAAATACACATTGTTCCCGAGTTATGTTATGCAAATATAATGCTCATATCATGAGAATCCGCAAACAGTTGGCAACTGGCAAGCAGAAGAAAGCTCCCTTCCAAAACCTCCCTTCAGGGGAGGCATAAAACAAAATGACATCGCATGAAAAGGGACAAAGCCAGGAACACTAGAGGGAGTGCCCACAGAGACTGCCTTCTCTCCGGGTGGCTCAGGACAGAGCTCAAGACCAGCTTCGGAGTGAGGGTTCAGTGAGGAGTTTGGAGGCTCGGGCTCAAGTCCCCCATCACCTGTCTGGTTTGGAGATTCCCTTTGCCACTTAATGTTATTAGCTGCTCAGTTAAAAGGGAACCATGATGCTGATTAATAAACCCAGGTCTTCTGCCATCCATGTAGTGTGATTTAATCAGCTGAATTCGGAGCTGAGGGATTGGGGACAGGAGGCAGAGAGCGTGGTGAAGGGTAACGCTGCAGGGGACAGGGCTTCCGGGGCTCAGCTAGCCTGTGGAGGCCACTAAACCAACACCTGGAAGACGGTTTTATTTTTTTACATTTTGAAAATTTTACTTTTGTTGTTGTTTTCCAGAAAGGAGACATTATTTGCAACCATTATTGAGCTGATACCCCTATACACAAGATGCCTGCAAACAGATATGTGCCCTTCCGTAAAATGACAAGGCTACAGGGCTTCAAGGAGCCACAGATCTATGCTGCTTCATGGGACAGTGACGGTAGCTACAAGGAATAGATGGCAGCACTGTAATTTCTCTGCTCTAACCCTGTGTGTGGACAGCAAAGTGTACCCCAGACCCTGGTGGAAGGGGTGGCTGTCACTCCAGGGTTACTCACCAGCTTAGTTGGCAGTGGCTGCTGATGTCTGAAGCGGGGGAGGCGGGGAGCTGGGAAGGAGAGGCAGATCTGTCTGCTCTGGCAAAGGGCAGGAGGGGGAGGGCAAGGCTTTAGCTGCTACCTGGGCACAGCCAGCTGGAGAGAGAGCTTCCCAGCCCAGTCAGGAGACGCTGAGGGCACCGGGAGACGTGTGCGGTCTGGTTGGGGTGGCAGGTGGTTTGCTCGAGAAATCTAATCAGATGCCCAGAAGCGCCTTGCAGGCTGTGCGCCTCCCGCTCCCCCAGCAGGAAAGCTGCCCATTGTCTCACCCACAGGTGCCCCCTCAGCGACCCACGTGCAGGGCCCTGGCTGGGCTCCCCCAGGAGCCGCCGCGGCTGCCGGAGGGTCCCAGAGCCTCTTCCAAAGTCATATCGAGATGACAAAACATCACAACGCATTCAGCTCCGGCAGATTCAAACAGAGAGAACTTTTAAGTTTCCACTGTAATTAACCCTATCCTCGTTAAGATAATTATGATCAAGCTTCCTGTCACAGTTAATATCCAGCATCATTGCCTGTGGCTCACACTCTGCCCTCATTAGCTTATGAAAACAGTGGCACTAAACAGGCGGCTGCCACCCTTTCCCGGGGAGGCCAGTGACTGTGAGGGGCCTTGGGCGGGGCAGCAGGTCCCACAGAAGGGCCACCCCTGGAACTGCAATCCCTTCTGCTCCTGTGTGGGCACACACTCAGCAGCCTTCATCCTTTTCCCAAAAGTTAGCCACAGGTCAGAAGGGGGAGGGAGAAGGGCCAGCAGAGCAGGGCTGGTCGATTTGGGGCAAGGGAGCTGCTGATATGGAGCTATTAGCCCTCCCTGCCCCTTACCTGGCAAAAATCCAACCAGGAAAATCCCCAGAGGGCACCTCCAGAACCCCTGGCTCAAGATCTGCCAACCTTATTCCTGGGGTTCAGGCTATGGTAAGAATTAGACCCGCCTGTCTTTAGCTCCCAGCCTGTACCAGGAATGACACTCCTTCCTGGCATGAGCTGGGCAGGGAAAAGGAGACAGTTAACCAGACCCTAAGAAAGACAAGTGTCCGCATAGCTGGCCTCAAATCCAGAACCAAGGGTTAGGATACTCTCAAACCAGTTAAGAAAATAACATGTCCATTAAGATCTTTACCTGCTTCCTCCACTACATCTACCTAAGTCTCCATAGATGTGTTTTTAATGGAGGAAATGGGGAGGCCGATGCTCGTCGGACTAGGCGAACTAACCCCTGTCTGACGCCTAGTCCTCAGCCTCACCACGGGCTTTCCGGGTGATTTCTGTCTGCCCAGCTCCCAAGAAAAAGGGGTCTCAATGTAACCTCCATGAGACCCTGAAAGTCTTCAAACGCACAGTGAGGGCTCAGTACCTCTGCCAACGACTACTCCTCGGCCACAAGCCTGTCAGTTGCTGAGAGTAAAGCTGCCAATGGAATCCCCGGGGCAGGACACAGTACAGGCCTCGGGTGACTGGCCAGGGGCGGTCAGGGCAATCTTTAAATTCACATTATTTCCGAGGCCAGAGGCCTCCCTTCCTGCACCCTGGGGCCAAGTGTCTGAGAACAGGTGGGGGGACATTCGGTGAGCCTGCACCCGCACACCAGTACTGGCTATTAAACTGGTTAAATATATCTGCTGACCAGTTGGTAAAGAATTGCAGCTCTGAGTACCCGGAGTGGCCCTCTCTGTTAACCTGGCCACTGCCTAGAGCCCCCAGACCTTCCCACCATTCAGCAACTAAGTGGTTAATGTCCCCCTCACATTATGGGGCTCCAGGAGCCTGCTCTAGCCAGGATCTTTCAAACTGATCAGTGCCATGGTTAAATAATTTAAACATCGCCCTTGAGAGAAAAAAATAGCAACTTGCACCCCTCCTACTCCCTCCAACACGCCAAGTACTGTGCCTGGCATACAGCAGGTCCTTGG